GGGGGGACAGCGCCAGGGGTGAGAGGTTGCACCATCCAGAGCCGTCCTGACCCCCCCGTGCCCCCCACAGCGACCCCGACAGCGTCGTGCTGTGCGTTCTGGCCACCGACGAGGAGGACGAAGGCGACATCGCCCTGCAGATCCACTTCACCCTCATCCAGGCGTTCTGCTGCGACAACGACATCCACATCCTGCGCGTGTCCGGGATGCAGCGCCTCGCCGCCATCCTCGGCGGGGGCGACCCCGAGCCGGGGGCCGAGCCCCGGGACCTGCACTGCCTCCTGGTCACGGTGAGCGAGGGGATCGCGATGCACCCGCGGCCCCGTGACCGCGCCGGGCGCCGCGCCAGGGGCCGGGGAGGGTGACGGGGCTCGGGGCCACGTGTCGGGGCGCTGGTGGCACTGACCTCGTGCTCCTTTGCTCCCCCAGAACCCGCACACGGACGCCTGGAAGGGCCAGGGGCTGGCGGAGGTGGCGAGTTACTGCGCCGAGAGCCGCGACAGGAACCAGTGGGTGCCCTACGTGTGTCTGCAGGAGCGCTGAGCCCTTCCCGGCCCCTTCCCGGCCTGGACCTGAAGGATCTAAAAAAAAAAAAAAAAACCAAAAACCAAAAAAAGCCGACATAAACCAGCAGGACAAAAAAGAAGGAGAAAACAAGAGCCAGTTCCAACCCACAAACCCAAGAACCCACCGATTTTATTTTTCTTTTTAACCGGAGAGGAGAAGGAGGAGCAGGAAAGGGAGCGCGGCCGCAGCGGTGGGAATGGAGGGGGAGCCGAGCCGAGCCTGGATGGACACTGGCCGGGGCCTGGATGGACACTGGCTGGAGCCCGGAGGGACAGTGGCCAGAGCTGCCGGCCCAGGAGTCGTGCTGGCCCAGGGGCCGGAGCTGGGGACCCCCAGAGCCCGGGGGGGGTGACCCCGGAGCTGGAGACTGTCAGGATTTTTGGCAGCTGGGACCCGATGGAGGCGAGGACTTGCAGAGGGGTGGAGTTTTTTTGTTGCAAAAACTTGCGCTTTTTTTTTTTTCCAAGGAATTACCGACGTCTGCACAAGATGGACCTGCACCCCCCTCCCCGGGGGTGCTGCTTTTGCACTTGGAGACCCTTGAGCTGAATCTTTTCCAGAGTTTATTCTTATACCGAGTGAGGAACTTAAATTTATTTGCAATAAAATATCTGAAGTCACCGGTGTTTGCTCTTCCCTCTTCTCTCCTGGAGCTGTTCCCACGGGGAGTGGGATCGGCCGCTCCTGGGTGGTTTTTGGGGTGGGCTCCAGCCCCCACCTCCCCCCGGGGCTCTGCACACTGAGGGGGGCCTTGGGGGAGGTCCTTTAGTGCAGGCCTGGGGGTTCCCACCCCTGTGTGGCCTCCCCACGCTGCCGGGGAAGGAGAAATTCCCACCCCACCCTTCTGTGGAAAAGGGTCTTTCCAGGAACACCCCTGGGTTGCCCCAAGCTCCGTGGGAAACTGAGGCACGGCCCCCCTGCCGTGGGTGGGGGCTGACCTGGGGTTATGGGATGGAGCTTCCCCCCCACCCCCACAGAAACCACAGCTCCTCGAGGCCACCCACGGGTGGGAGGGAGAGCCTGGGAAACCCCCCCACGCCCCCATCCCCTCCCACTGCTGTGGGAATTCCCTTCCACCTCCGGCCAGGGGCACCCAGGTTCTCCCTCAGCATCCCCTGGGGGCTGGATCTGGGGACAGGGAGAGTGGGGTGAGAACCCAAAGGCTGGGGGGAAAGTGTGGGAGGGTGTGGGGACCCCTCAGGCCCTTCCAGGAGGCAGAACCCCCCTGGCTGGGCACTGGCTGTGCTCAGGTGTGGGCAGTGTCCCAGCAGGGCCGGGAGCTGTGCCAGGACCATCGTGCCCAGCTGGACAGCGTGTCCAGGCAGGGACAGCGTGACCGTCCAGCCTGGCTGGGACACCGTGCCCATCCCAGAGTGTCCTGTGGCTGGGGACGTGCCCTGTGCCCTCCTCTGGGGCTGGGACCGCAGGGGGGGCACCGGGGGAAGGTGTGACAGCCCCGGCTGAGGCCACCCAGCTCTGTGACCCCCCCCAGGGTATCCTGGGGGTCCCAAGGGACAAGGTGGAGGCAACACCCTCTGGGTGGCCCAGACTGTGACCCCCCCACTGCAGCGGGGGGGACACACAGAGCAAAGGCCCCCCCCCGGGTCTGCCCAGACACACCTGACACGAGCTGGGAGGTCTCAGCTGGGAGCTGGGGGGGCACAGCCATCCCTGGGATCACCTGGGAAAACCCGAGGGAAAGGGCCCGAGGGCGGCTGAGGCTCCCAAAACTCGTTTCACTGATGAGGCAGCAGGTCACGGGGCCATTCCTGTCCCCGGTGTCACCGCGGGCCACTCGTGTGACGAGCGCGTCAGGCCGGGTGCGTCATGGGGGTGGGAGGAGGGACAACCCCCCCAGACAGGCCCCCCCAGACAGCCCCCCCAGGCCCTCCCCGCTGCCCCCCCAGCCCGGGCAGGACACCCACGGTGCAGCCCCGACCACAGCCCACCCGGGAGCGCACATGGAGCCGCCCACGCTGGGGTGGGTCACGCACATCCCACCCACCCACCGCGTCCCTGCCCCCCCTCGTGGGCATCGGGACCACCCAGCCCCCCCCAAACAGCAGCACGGTGCAACCTCAGGGGCCCTGGAACCCCCAGAACATCCCCCCCCCCCAAATCTGCCCTGACTCACGCGGTCCCAGCCAGCCATGGGGGCGGTGGATCCCGACTGGACACTGATCCACACTTTCCACCCATCCAGAGCCGAGCCAGACACCTGGGGGAGGCAGGGGGGGCGGCTGCCGGGGTTTGGGGGGGGTCCCTGATTCACCTATGGCCAGACATCCCCTCCCTATCCCCCCCATTCCCTTGGCACCCTGCCAGCATCCCAGAACTCGGGAGAGGAATCCCAGAGCTGGGAATGGGGGTCCTGGACTGGTTTGGGCTTGGCTGGAGAGACCCCAGACACCCCCCCCCCCCCCCCAAAACCTGACACAGAGAGGGGAGAGCGTGTTTGGGGGTGCAGGGGGGGACGGGGGGTCCCGGCCACCCCGAATGGGCCCCAGGGATGAATCCACACCCCCCGTGTCTCCAGGACCCCTCACGCCGAGGTGGGAGGGGTGAAAATGGGGGGAGTTGGGCTGGGGGTGGCACCGAGCCCCTTTCCTGGCTCTGGGGTGGCACCGAGCCCCTTTCCTGGCTCTGGGGTGGCACTGAGCCCCTTTCCTGGCTCTGGGGTGGCTGCAGCCAGACAGGGCAGGGCCGGATCCCGCTCTGGAGCCGCTGATTTACGAGTCTGGGCTGGGTGGCTCCGGCGGCTCCTGGCCCCGGCCCCGGGCTCTGCCTCCACCCAGGGACAGACACGGGGGACCAGGAAATGGGGGGGCATCGCCCTCCCCCCCCGCCCCGGCGGCTCGGCCCATCCCGACATCCACAGCCTGTGGAAATTTGGGCTGTGCCGCACGTGGGGAAACTGAGGCACGGAGGTGACCCCGTCCCCCCACCCCCCAGGGATGCTCGGGGGGGAGCGGCGGATTCCGGAGCGGGAAGTGTCACCCCGTGACGTCACGGTCGTGGCCCCGTTGCGTCACGGGTGTCCCCGTGGCGGGGAGGGAACATCGTGGGATCCCCCACGGTGAGGGATTCGGAGCCTCCTGCGGTCATGGGGGTCCCTGGGATGGGGGGGACAGCCGGGGTCGTGCAGTGCTGAGGGGGGACCCCCCTGCGCCGCCCCTGTCCCCCTCCCCCCGGTGTCACCCGGACGCTGCGACCCGCGGTGGCACCGCCGGGACCCGCGGCCGCCCCTGGGCCACCCGGTGCCATCGGGTGCCAGCGGCTCCGAGGGCAGGGAGTTAATTAGAGCGGCGGGGATTTAATTAGAGCCGCAGCCGGGCTAAAAATAGCCCGGCGGAGGCGGGCGGGTTATTTTTAGCCGCTCCCAGCCCGGTGCCACCCGGCCGGTGTCGCTCCGCATTGGCACACGGTCTGGTGGCACCGCCGCCCTGTGCCAGCTCCGGCGCTTGGAAGCGGATTCCCGGGAAAGGAGCCGCTCCCGGCGTGTCCTGGTTGTTTAATTTGGGGAGAGTTTGGGCATTTGTGGCGCGGTGGGGGCAGGGACCCCCTCCTCG